CACACACACACACACACACACACACACACACATTTGCACTGTAGCGCAGCCATTTTTGGCTTACCCCCAGTGAAGACATTTTATTGGTGTTCTGTCAGAAAATGTTTTGTTCCTGGACTTTCACTCAGTTTATGGGTGTTGTGGGTCTCAGCAGTACTTGTTACTGATAGTCAAAAGTGCTCTGATGCATCTGTAATGTTTGTACAGATTTTTAAACAGAAACAGGCTGGTGTGCTCGAGAATAGAGAGAACTACAGAAAAGGCCGATCTAAGACAACCTAAATGCAAATGAATAAATAATTGTGGCAAGTCCTCCGAGAATCTTAGAACAACATATCTGCTGAGTCCACTTTAGAGAAAATGGCTGCTTCAAAGGTGAAGTAATATGATTTTTCTTATATTCTGCAATGCTTTTACAAAAGTTAGCTCAGTAACATGTGCAAGCCCAAGCTTGAGATTACTCTGTAAACTTATGTGTAAAATGGCTGTCATTGATAAGGGCATCAGAGGCACGCAGCTCCAATCAGGGAAAACAAGTTGGCTTAAAGTGAGAGGAAAAGAAGCTAAAATGTGTTTTTTAGACAGAGTATGCACCAAGGAGGGGAGCTGTGCAAATGCCCACTGTAAGATAAATAGGAATTATTTTAAGTTGGGAATTGTGGAGAGCTCATTTAGTAGAGTCATAGAATATCAATATAGAGCAGTAAATGAGCAAAATAGACCCTCTTTAACGGGCATAGTGGTCTCAAGTAGAGACTGACTGGTAGCTTGTACTACCGTTTGACATTGGCTATTTACGAGTCTGTCCATATTGGCGTTTATAAATACAAATACAAAAAGCAGCAGAATGAAGGAGAGTCAGGTAGCACATGAACAAGTAAATGAATAACTAAATATATCAAATGTTAGGGAAATTATAGAAAAATATCAGCTGATGAATCAGAAGAGCAGAAAGTGGTTTTTTTAATCATCAAATATTGGTAATTGGCAGTGATGTTGGTTCCATATTAGTCGGGCTCTGACATGAATCAATAGAATTTTTTCTGAGATCTTTTTTTTGGTCTTGTTTTTGTTTGTTTTCTGTTCGTACTCTAATTCCATTTATAATTTTCCAGTTAGCTCCAGATGTATTTTATCTTTCATGTTTTCTCTCTTTCTGCTTCTCTGTGTTTCTTTTTCTCACTTCCTCTCATGCTTCCGTACATTATGTTGAGATACTAAATGCATTTTCTTCCTCTCTCGTGCTACTCTAATTCTGAACTTTTCTTTAACTGAGCTGACAGATAGGGAGGAAGCTAATTGGCCATTATGTCAGAAGTCTTTGTGCATGCTCTAAACACTTACGATAAGTATGGCTAAGTGGTGCTTGTATAAACATGGATGGTTATCTTTCACGGAGAGACTATAGCTCTGTGGGATGTGCCACATTGGATGCAATGGTTTTCTCTTTGAATAAATAGATTTCTGGGACACAAGTTTTTAGTACCCTTGAGGCTAAATGTCTCAATCACTTTGGATTTTACTGATGCACTTTATGGCGAGGTCCTGCCAAGTTTAGAAGATATACTTTATTAGGTATTCTTGTTCTTCTTGTCCTTGTTAATACAAATATTGAATTGGCAAGTCAGATGGCAGCAATTCAGTGCATTCAGGTTTGCAAATATGGTCAAAATGACCTGCTGAAGTTCAACCCGAGCTCTGGAATGGGGAACAGAAGTGATTTAAGCGACTTTGAATGTGGCATGGTTGTTGGTGCCAGACAGGCTGGTCTGAGTCTTGTTGATCCGCTTGGATTTTCCCACACAACCCAACCCTCTCAAGGGTTTACAGTGAATGGTCAGAAAAAGAGAAAATATCCAGTGAGCAGCAGCTGTCTGGGGGGGAAATGCTTTATTGATCCCAGAAGAGCGTCTCTGAGGGCACAGCACATCAAAACTTGAAGCAGAGGACTAAAGCAGCAGATGACCACACCAGGTGGGACTCCTGTCAGCTAAGAACAGAAAACTGTAGCTTCATTTCACACAGGATCGCCTTTTTTAATGAGTTTTGATTTGTGCTGTGACATCAAGAATTTGCCATAAACAACATGAAAGCATGGATCCATCGTTCAGGTGCCTGAACCAAAGAAGACTTTCTTGACATAATTTGGGACCCTTAGTGGTGTTGCTGACCTTGTCTATCCCTTTATGACCACAGTGTGCCCAGCTTTTTGTAGCCTTCTCCCTCAGGATAGTGCATCATGTCACAAGCTCAAATCATCCCAAACTGGTGTCTTGAACATGCCAAAGAGTTCTCTGTACTGTACCAGGCCACCAGATTTCAACCCAATAGAGGACTTTTGGATGTGCAGCTGACAAATCTGTAGCAACTGTGTGATGCTGTCATGTCAATGTGGACCAAAAGTTGTGAGGAATATTTCTAGCAGCTGGTTGAAGCTATGCCGTGGAAAAGTAAAATGGGGGTCCAACTTGCTGCTAGCAAGGTGACCGTGTTTAAAAGTGAACACGACTAATCTCAGATAATTAGATTTGTTATTGTGTATGTCCGATTGAACGAGAGCTACAGTGTAATTCAGAGCTCCAGCTCTGTGACAACCAAAAAACCAACTCTATAGTCACCAAAATTACTCTGAATTTCATCTAGTTAAATCACTTTCACTCACTGACTTAACACCTTCCCCTTGTTCTTAACTGTCACAGCTAACTGCCTGAGCCTTACACCAACCTTTATCACAACATAACCTCATTTAACCTCAACCTTAAAGTCAATTATTTACTCTAAAACAGTCGTTTGAAGGCAGAACAGAACATAAAGTCTTCATCCCATATTCCCAAGGTCTACAATTCACACAATACCATACATGTATACACACTCAGTGTTTTTTAGGGTGTGGTGTTAGTCGTGGAGTGGACCACTGTTGTTGGTCTCTTATCCCCATTAGCTTGCTTTGTTTAAATATCCCTTTCTTCCTGCATTTCTTCTCATACTTGCATTATTTTTGTTACACTCTCTTCCTTTGTGGAAGTTGGAACAGAAACCTCGGAAAAAGGAGGGACTTGATGGGTACAGTAACAGAGTGACCAAAAAGGTATAATTAGCTACAAAGGGAGCACGAGTGGTTTGAAAACACTGACGATTTAAATGAAGGGTTCTCTTTTAAGTTTACATCTACTTTGAGGATGGGTTTGCAGGATTGTTTTCTCGGACAGAATTTGATCCCCTGTAGGGATTAATAAAGGTTTAGTTATGCTAAAGTGCTCTTCAGCAATGGTTAAAAAAACATACAAGCAAATAACTCTAGGTGTAATTTATGAATTTCCAGCATGTAATGGAAACATTTTCCTACATGTATGAAACGAGTCTTGCAATTAAAAAAAAAAGAAGTTAATTTAACATTTTTGGCTGAGACATTATAGGTTTACACCGATGACTGAAAGGGTTTGTCTCTGTTTTTCGCGCCAACGCCCTCATTTTGCTTGAGAGAATGATCCCGGCACCAGATTACAAAGTTCAGTGAACATCACCCAATACATAGTCCCAAATTTATACTTATTTTACCCACAAATTCTACATAAAGCTATGTTTAAAAGTGTGTTTGATTTGTTGTATACAAATGGGGAGTTACAGAGTAAGATTTTTTTATTTAGAGGCCGTGTCTCTGAAATTCACTCATGATGAATAATGAATTAAGTAGTGATTAATCTTTGCAAAGCACGGCTAGTTTAGATTATATTATTCACTGATCTATGTGTGTGTAGTATATCCACTCTGTGGAGTGATATGCCAAAGAAATACGTTTCCCCAGGCTTGTATATGTACTGTGTGCAATCTCCGCACATACAGCCATGCGGTCCTGTGAAAAACTAAGCACATTTAAGGATTTAGTCGCTTGTAGGACCACCTTTAACAGCAATAACTTGAAGTAATAGTTTTCTTTATGACTTTATCAGGCTTTTTACATTGTTGTGGAGAAGCTTTGGCCCACTCTTTTTTACAACATTGCTTTACTTCATTGAGGTTTGCGGGCATTTGTTTATGTTGAGCTCTCTAAAGGTCCACAGTATTTCAGTCGGGTTGAGGTCTGCACTTTGAGTCGGCCATGCCATTGCATTGTCCTGCTGCATGGCCCAAGTCAGTTAGTTGGTCTACACTGAAATATACCAGGGCTGCTAGATGGATTTGGAACATTTGTGTACTCCCAAGAAGATGATTTTTTGAATCTTCTTGTTCTCCCTTGCATTTTCATCTAGTGAAATATCTTACCGGTTATATAAACTTGCTATGAAAGTTATTACTACTATAATAATAATAATAATAATAAAGTGCAAGTAGCAAAATTGGGTCATTAGTTTAAAAAAAAAAAGTGAATTTGTCTAAAATATTGATGTTGGGACCAAATAGAACTGTATTGTGTTACAGTAGCGTGATAGTACATTTCACTAACTGCTTTTTTCCTTACAGTCAAATAATTAACCTTGATGGCATGTACTTTCAATTTTACAGAAAAAAAAGCGTGCAATAGCAAAACCTTAAGAGCACACAGCAGTCTGGATAATAACTGCTTTAGCCATCCATCTATCCCTCTCTAAAGACAATATGTCTTAAACCTGATGCAGTTGTTAAATTCAGTTTATAGTTGCTGTAAAGTATTTCAGTCTCAGTTTATTTTCTTCCCAAATGACCATCTAGTTGACATCATGTAGGTCACCAAACCAAGAATTGAATCTGTAGCAAGTGTGTACTTACATACAACATTACACAAATTAAATTACCATTTAGTTTCCACTTTTGGTAAAAGCAAAGCTGTTAGTATATTATTTGTTTCACTGAACATGTTTTACCAAGTAAATAACAATATCTGTTTTGTGTTATGTGCCTGTTGTTGGCATACGTACTATACCATCAGAAACTAATGCTTATATTACGTATAAGAAGAAGTGGTCATTATTAGATTCAAAG